AATGAATCAACAGCATCAAAGAATCTCTCAAATACAAGTGAATGAAGTCAGAGACTTAAGAATGTAATATCATCATCTCGTCTTGCCATTCCCCCAGCATCAGGACCAGTGACTGATTTGTTTCTATGCCCATATGCTCAGCATAAGGTCTTGGCCTGGTGGCCCAACGGTAATTCTCATGAATGAAGACAATGTATTCTTTTAAAATTTTATTGGTTTTATTGAGGCAAGGTCTTACTATGTAATCTTGGCTGGTCTGGAATTCACTACATAGAGCAGGCTGTCCTGGAACTCACAGAGGTCTGCTTGCTTCTGCCTCTGTCTCCCAAGTACTGGGATTAAAGGTATGTGCCACCATGCCTGGCTTTGGAGACCTAGTCTCATTTTAGATCCTTATTTGCCCTATTAGAGCTTTTCTTGTCTGTCTTAGGTAGACCCTCCATCATTGTCTCATGACATGTCTTCTAGAGATTTCTCTTCTCTGGGATAAATGAGCATCCTGTCTCCCATAGGATGGAGTTCTCTGTTTCTTCTTTGTGAAGCACAAGGGCCCCATCACCTTCATCCTCAGCACACTAGTTCCCCAGAACAACTCCTGGGGGCTGAGGTGATAACTGGCCTGTTGGAGGGAGCAGACTTTTCTTTAAATCTTTGTCCTCAGGGACATCAGATCGTCTCATCACAAACACCATGAGAATGGTTCAACATGGGGCAGGATGTTGGGGGTGGGAAGTGGAAAGCTATGAGGCATTTGTCATCAGATACACAAATGACAACTGACTGACAACAGTTTGGAGTTAACTGGTGAGACAGACTCAACTGGAAAATGGAAGAGAAATGACACCCATACTATTCACAGACCCTTTAAACATGAATCTCATAGACCTTACATGTTTTCTCCCCACTTTTCAGGACATCTTGCATTAAATGTGCAAATACAGAGGTGCTTCCATTTACTGATCATGAAAAGTCCTGTTGCTGCCTGAGGACATTGAATCCTGGATGCCTGAGACCCACTAGCAGTCTAAGGTCACCTTCTGATCCCAGGTACCCTGACATTGCTGGCTGCAGGCCATGGTCCTTGCTGGAAGGGACCCAGACTCAGGGAACACACATGCTTCACCTATTTCCCCTACCCCTTATAGTGAGGTAGGTCATGTGACTAGTTCTGGCCAATGGCTGTGAAGAGAATCAATAACTATCACTTCTAGGCTGAGGTATTTGAGAGTAGGTGAGAGTTCTCCACCCCTTCCCTCCCTTGCTGCATAAAGATGAAGCCAGCCTACCTCCGGGAGTCAACACTTGGAAGGAAACTTGCTGGAGAGTTCCCTGTTTGACACTTGATGTTATGTGAGGGAGAAACAACCACTGCTGTAATCAAGCCACACAGACCTCATCACTGGTGACCACAGTGTGACCTAGTCACCTTCTACAAGCAGCCCTTCCTCTATCAGTGCCACAGCACCATATGTCAAGCATGGAGGTCCAGCCTCCAATACAGCCCAAGCACAGTGGCTCCTGAAAGTGCACAGTCAGAGAGCAACAGGCAAGAACCAATGAGCTTTTAGAACAGAGAGGGACAGTACTGTGACAGGAGGGGGAAGGGACCTTTGGATGTTCAAAGAAGTGTGGCAGGGCAGATGGAGGGGTGAGTCACAAGCTTACTCTAGGAAGTGACATTTCAGCAGAGTTATAGTGGACAAAGACGAGTTAATTCAGCAGTGCCCAACTGGTATGTACTGTTCAAGTCAGCACAACATTAGTAGCATTTCTATTAATTGACAATATTTAGGAATGAGTTCCTCATAGAATTCTTTATTTGACACATCACTTTAAAATAAATAGCACAAAATGACTAAAAAACACCACCACCACCAACAACAAATAAAACAGAAAAGAAAAAAAAGATGGCTGCTAGTACCATATGCCTACGTGTTGACAACTGCCTTGGGCTGGCCATAGCTGCCTTGCAGACAGACAGGCATGTCCAGGTCCCCACAGCACTCTGGGAACATTTGATCCCTGCCTGCTCTGTAGACAGTAGGGATCATAACCCCTGGGTTAGTTGACTCTTCTCCAGGTATGTCCTACCTGTGACCTGAAGTCTAACACAAGACTGTAAACTTACTTAAAACATTATGAACTTTTTTTTGGGTAACTTGATTGCCTAGTTCTCAAGCATCAACTTTGTAGATGGTAACGCCAAAAAGTTGGACATACCATTTAGATTTCTTCAGCCCAGCAGATCTTAGACTTCAGTCCTGAAGCCAAGGGCCAGGCTGGTCCTACCTCCCTGCCTTCTCTAGAGCTCTAGCCTAGAAGATTCTGCAAGCCTGAGTGGGTAAGGCGGCCTAAGCACTGGCCTTTGACTGAGATGGTGACCCCAGTCCAGCCAAGATGAGAGAAAGGACTGGAACTGTCCCAGAGAGTCATGCCCAGAGAATCATGTTGCTGGGGCTCCCTGGGCTCCTGGAAGGAGCTGGTGCAGGCCTCCCAGAATGCCTTCTTCTTTTTGGTCCCAGCACCTTGATTGTGTTTGGGGGCATGCCCTGTTCTCAGTGTACAATCTAGGAAGTTGTCTATTTGGTTGTGAGGCTGAGCCTTTAAGGGCTGCGCCAGCTTTCCAGTCCAACTGGAATTGTCTAAGCATGCTTCCTCTTGACCTAGACGACACAGAGCCAGGCTCACTGGCCCTCTCTGGGGCTGTGGATCCTGAGCCTAGTTGTGACTGAGGCATTCTATAGGAGGCCTCAAAATGACCACCTCAGGTCCTCTTCTGGACTCCTGCTTCTGTTTTGGCACCTGTCCTTCCTGGGCCTGGCAGCCAGCCTTTTCTCTGAGCCCATGGGTGGCTGATAAGCTCTTGGCACCCCTTTATGGAGAGTAGTAGACTTTGCATCTGGAATTTATTATCAACATAACTGAACTTTCACATGGCCCCTCAAGGGCTGGTGTGAACAGCTTGGGTTCACATCTGGTTCTTCCAAATGCCAAGTTGGCCCAGGCTGCCTCTTCCTGACCCTCAACTCCTTCCCCTTACCCTGATGGAACTACTGGATGATTCTTTTAATGTTCGGGTTTGCCAGACACCAAAGGCCTGAGATCTGTTCCAAACCTAACTTCTGGTCACAGCTTAGGACTTCTGACCAAGCTGCTGTCCTGATGCTTAAACCCTGGCTCAAGCAGGAAGCTCTAGGTCACTTACCCAGCAATCTCCCTCCTCAGGAGCTTGCACTGCCTCCCTAAGGATGAGGTGCTCACAAAGGTTGGGGATGAGATGGTGAGAGGAGATATCTCTGCATATGGATCAACACGCTCTGAGCTGAAGGAACCTTGGAGTGTACTCCCCTCAGTCAAGGACCATCTTGACCCAGTTGACTCACATACATCTTGCTCATAGTACTTAGTATTCACTTTCTATATAACAAGAGTAAGAGTTTCACCATTCAACCTTTTATACATATATTTAAAAAGGGAACATGAGATCATTCTCAGAAGCCAGAAGCTAGTACAGGCCCTTCTTAATTTAGATGGGGTTATATCCCAACAAACTCATGGTAAGTTAAAAATAAGTAGTAAATTAATTTAAACACCTTCTTTACAGAATGCCCAAAGCTTAGCACCACAGCATACTGCAGAGCATTGTGCTTCTCTTTGTCATTGGGTGGCTGACTGGGAACTGGGCTCCCTGCCACTGTCCCGCATTTCCAGACAAAGGCTCACACGACATATTGCTAGTCTGGGAAAAGATAGTAACTCAAAATTCAAAGTATTATTACTTTGTGTGTGTCTGCACATGTTCGTGTGTGTGGAGGTACATGTGTGTGTGTGTGGAGGGTATAGGCCAGAGGCCAACCTTGGGTGTTGTTCTTTAGGCACTATCCACCTTTAAATTTTTTAAAAATTGCATTTATTTATATTTATTCATTCATTCATTATTCATTTATTCATTTACTGTGTATATGTGTGTGTGCATGTGTGTGTGCATGTGTGTGTTTGTGCACATGTGAGGTCAGAGGACAACTTGTAGGAGTTGGTTCTCTCCTACCACGTAGGTCTTGGAGATTGAACTCAGGTTGTCAAGCTTGGCAGCAAGTGCTGAGCCATCTCACTGGCTATAACAGTGGAGCCCAGGCTAGCTCCAAACTCATGATTTTCCTGTCTCTGCCTTTTCAGTATATTCTACTGGTGTGTGCCATCACAACCCACAAGTAGGCTAGGCCAGCCAGCAAACCCCAGAGACAGATCTTACTGTCTCTCTCTCCCCAGTGCTAGAATGACAAGCTCACACCACCACGCCTGGCTATGTATGTTGTATATACATGTTTGTGTATGTATGTGCATGTAGATACATGAGTAAATGTGTATAAGGAGGTCAGAGGTTGATATTAAGTGTCTCTCTTTTGATTCAGCTAGACTGAGTTCCAGGGATCTGTCTGTCTCTGTTCCCCACTCCCCCACCAGCACTGGGATTACAGACTCAGGTTGTGTGCCTGGCTTTCCTTTTTTACATTGCTTCTGGGACTCCGAACTCAGGTCCTCATGTTTGCACAGTACTTTACTAATTGAATCATCTTCCCGGCCCCTGGCCCCTCACCTTTTTAAAAATTTGGATTTTAGAGATTGAGCTCAAGTCCTCATGATTGCAAAGCAAGCATTTTACTAACTGAGCTGTCTCTGTGCCTCCAAAGTATGTTTTTATATTTTTTCTTATTTTTTGTGGTGCTAGAGATGGACCCCGGGGCCCTGTGTGTGCCTGGCAAATGCTCTGAGCCTCATGTCTAGCTCTCTCCAGTGAAACTGGTTGCCTGAACATCTTAACGTTGTCTCACTGGTCGTTCGCACTCACTTTGTAGAAAATGCTGCCTTGGCAGCCCCTGTCTCCCAAGGAGACTGTGGCCAGGAACTTCGCTAGCTTGACCTCTGCTGCCCACCTGACTTGATCCATTGCTTGTTCCCTGTGTTGTAGGCCAGCTGGGCACCTGCTTTGCCCCAATGAATGAGCTAGGCTCTAGGTCCAGATATCTAAGAAAGTTAAAACAAAGAGAAGGAGCAAGAACTCAGAGTTTTGAGCCCTTCTTAAGCGACAGATACTGTGATTGGTGTTTTGCATGGATTATTTCACATTTCCCCCATTCCATTCACACACCACCTCTGTTATTTTACCCTACCAGCGCTATTCATCTACTTAGTTCTCTTTAAACTGATTTGCCTTTTAAAAAAATGCACAATTTTATCTTCAAAGATAATGCTACATTATTTCCATAAATCACAGAGCTTGACATATGGGTACCATATTTCTAACATGCATCAATTCTAAGCTATTAAAATAACAAACGTGCATCTGTATATCACCTAAAATCATCTTATGTGGCATCAATCATGTGCACACCAGCCTTTAGGAAATTTAGCAGCATCTTAACTGTTGCCTTACACACCCCTGGAAGGATGGTTTATAGAAAAGAACTGGGAGACTCAAAAGGCCTCCTTCCTGGAGTCCCAGTAGTGGGAAGGGATGGGGCTGAATTTGAATCCAGACTGTCTACCTCCTGATGCTTAAGCTTTTTCAACTCCTGTGCTTTTCATATATATACATATATATATGTATATATCTGAAATATATGCATTTGGAAATATAAATATATACTTATATGTATTAAATATGTAAATATATGGTTAAATCTACAGAATTCTTTAAAAATAAAATTCAACATGAGAGTAGAGTATATAAAACAAATAAAAGCAGAGATTTTGTGGTTGAGATGGGTTTGGGGAGTCCAGAGCTTCTTTTGGGGGGGCCTTTCCTTCCTCAAGCCAATCCTATTAATGCCTCATAAGACCTTTTCTCAGAAGCCTGCAACTCCTAGGGATTTTATTTTTGAGCTCACAATTTAGTTCAACTTTCCCTGTGAGCCAAACTCCTGAGGGGCGACTGGTGGGTCTGTCTCATCCTTCCCAGTTCGGCCTCTCTGCTTCGGCTACCATGCTATCTTGAAATTTTCCATCTCGCCATCTTGAAATATTTCACTGGCTTTCTAACCTTGTTGTGACCTCATTGTTCGTTTATCAACCACTGATATCTAAATTATACCCAGAATTTTAGAGGGCATAAAGGGGATAGGGAAAGCTAGACTATCTTTCCTTTGATGGGTTCTCACTGGTGTAGGGGACAGACACAGGCATGACCAATTCAATACCGAGCACCCTCTGCTCACCCATCAGGTCCCATCTTTCTCAAAGACCTGATTGCTTTCTGGAAAGTGACTGAGACAGAGCCAGTCAAGAGGCCCCAGGGTGTTGACTGCCTTCCTCATTGTTTCGAGAAGTCTTACTCTATCCCTACAGTGGTGCTAAGTCACCATTTCCTTCAGTAAACACTGTCTGATTTTGGGAGTTAGAATCATACCTCACTCAGACCCCCCCCAAACCCTCATTCCAACAAAGGCCATTTACAAATGTCCCAGCAACTGCCTGGCTCCTGACCTCAGCCTGCCTTCTCCTCTCATTGATGAGTTCATTTGACCCCATAACTTAAAAGTCATGATCCCAACCAAGTGGGTGCCCTTAAAGTCTCTTTATTGTCCAGAAAGAGAGGAGCCTTTTGCCTTAGAAGTATGGGAAGATCCTTCAGAATTCCAGCAAGTTTTAAAGGTCTCTAAGTGACATTGTAGCTCACCATTCCCCTTGACCACATCAACACTGCTACCTGGGTATGGCCCTGGTTCTCTTTGAGATGCCCTGAAATATCCTCAGAACATCATCCATGGGGGACCAGGTCGTAGCTAAGTTCAAGTTCTAGAAAGCTTTTGTCTTGGTAGATCCATGAGCAGGATATATTGTTAAGTTCAAAATTACTTGTCAGTTTATGCTAAGTCAGTTAGATCGACTCTGCTTAAATCAAACCGAGTCAGTCAGCTCAAGCCAGCATATACTTATTGTGAACCTCTGCCTATTCCCTACTGTCCTCAGCCAGACTACAGTCAGGGGAAAGAGAGAATCCAGCAGTTAACAGGACACACGCTTAGCTCTTCGGGACTGTTTTTGCTTTGTATCTAGGTCCTAGATTCAGAATGTCCCTGAGCTCAAAATTTCCCTTGCATGAAGGGCTGGAGAAGGTTATCTCTCTGGTCTTCTAAAGGTTTCCTGTAGTGTTTTGAATGCTGTGTGGCACCATTTTGAAGGCTGTGGAGTCTTTAGGAGGTGGGGCCAATCTGGTGGAAAGTCCCTAGGGGCAAGCCTTTGAAGGTTATGTCTGCCCTTGGTACCCATCTAGATCTCTCTGTTTCCTGGCCTTCAGTATGTGAATAGCTCTTGCCTTACACACCTTCTGCTACAGATGGAGCAGCTCCCACGACCAATGCCTTCGCTACCAAGATGGACGAAATCTCTAAAACCATGAGCCAGAAGTAGTTTTCATCAGGTATTTGGTCAGTGACTAATATAATTCCCAAACCATCTCCTAGTAAATGGGCAGAGCATCCCAGGTTGCAGAGCCAGTTGGCCCCTCACCCTATAGGATCTGGTTCATAGGGGTCTTGAGCTATTGGTTGATTTGTTATTTACTCACAAACCTGCACTGAGCACTTAGTATATATGTGCAGGATATCATTCAGACATTATCTCATTTAATTCCCTATGGGAATTAAATTGCCCAGGTCTCTGCAATCAACGTAAATATAGAACCAGTTAAGCGGCCAGCTAGAATGTAGCTTAACCCTGATTTCAAAGCCGTGCTCTTTGCTTCTCTCCCGACTGTCTGTTAGGACAACTGCATAGACTCTGTAATCACTGAATGCTTAAAGAAACACATTCTATATGGAGGGAAAGAACAGATAAATGAATATTTTATGCAAGGCCGAATCCCACCTGACTAGTTTATTAGAATTCTTTGAGAAGTGAACTATATAGGGAGATAAAGGGTGACTTTCACAAAAAGCCTTTGTTAAGTTTTTATCCCAAAGCCTATTAATAAAATTGATTCATTATAGAATTGGGCAGAAGTGGGTGGCAAGTGGGAGGGAGTCTATTTTTGCATGGATAGAGAACAGGCTTAGAGACAAGAAGGAGGATGGAGATAAATGGGTACTTTTCAAATAGGGAATTAGGGTTCTCCAGGAATTGCTACTGAGTTAGGTTTTTATAGAGCTCAGTCTACACACATTGAGGCCAGTGTGTGCGTGCCCTGAACCAAACGTAGGAGGAGGGGCTGTGTCTAAGCAAACAAGACTCTGGTCCTGTATTTGAGCCAAGGACGTTCTGTGACATCTTCACATTTCAGAGGACAGGAAGCTCCTCAAGGGCCAAAGAAGGTGGGTGGGGAATGAAGGACACTCAGGCTACAGTGAGGAGTGGACATCTAGTACTAGTTCTGTCATTGACTCTGTGAGATGTTAGGCAGGTCCCTTGCCCTCTTAGATCTTAGTTTTCTCTCCTATGCAGTCGAAGTGTTGGATATATGGCCTGAAGAGATCACTGACTGGAAGTAAAAATTGCTTATGCAAAAGTGCCCATTTCTCATAGCCAAAATACTCCCTGTCCCTGTCCCTGGTGGGGACTCTGACTCTCTCTCTCTCTCTCCACCCCCCTCCCCATAGTGACTATGAGGCAGACAGCCATGAGGTCTGTGGTGCTGAGGCTCGGAGCCCAGCCTGGGATTCCTCGGTGGCGTTGGCTGTGAATGACTCAGCATCGTAAATAGCTCCCATCTGGATGAGCAATGATATCTATAGCATCCAAGCGATCTCTATATCCACACACACTTTCTTTGTGCAAATATGTGGATCACTGTATGCTAAATATGAGGTGGCCTGGAGACGTTCCTCCTTTTAAAAGACTATTTGGTACAAAACTCAAGACTGTTTATTTAAAGAAACAAGTTTACAACTATGCACGTTAGATTAGTGGTCGTGGGTGGTGGGGAAGAGATGATGTGGATGGAAGGATGCTGGGGGTGATCCAGGCCTGGTGAAAGAGGAGTTGAGGTTGACTGCTGTACCCTTGGTCCTGCTATCATTGTAGGAAGGGGCAATGGACAGAACTCCTGAGATTTCAGAATGGGGTGGGAGAAGGGGGTGGTGGAGTACTGTGGTTCATTCGAAAGAGCAGGGATCTGGTGGTAACCCGACAGTCAGGTCCTGGCCCAGCCCTGCCTGTCTTCTCATCGCAGGTGACTCATCAGTTTCCTCATTCACTCCTTAAACACAAACTGAGCCCCCACATGTGCACAGGCTACTTACTGGGCTACAGACAAAGAAAAGCAGAGTGCAATCCAGCTTAGTCACATATCAGCTTTGTGCATTTGGGCAAGTCCTTTGCTCTCTCTGAGCTTCTGTTTCCTCATCTGAAACTAGGGATGATAATATCTACCTCAGGTTTTGAGAGGTAGCATTGAATAAGATCATGTACCAAAAAGTGCTTCTCTGCCATAAAGGACTCTGAAGATGTAGTATGAGTCACTGCTCTGTACTGGTAACCGACCCACTCACTCCAACTTGGAAGTGTTGCTTGGTGACCACAGAGGGGGAATGGAATGATCCCCTTCATTAGAGTCCCAGGTGTGAGGCTCCCTGAATGCCACCCATGGCTATGACCCTGGGTAGCAACCTTACCTGTGCTTCCTGGATGAGCTGGGATGCAGGAGCCTCAGGCACCGAGAAGAGCAGATAGCATGTCAGAGATGCACAGCTTCCTAGAGGAGAGAGGGTTTGGGCTGAGAGTGTGGCTGGAGTTGGCTTCCACGATGGGTATGAAACACCCCCCAAGGTCCATGTGAGCCGTGTCCTCAGCCTCCTAGGCCACAGCTACTTCTCTTGGTTCTAGCAAAGGGTGGGGAGGATGGGGGCTGTCTAGTGTCAGATCTGACTCTTGTCCCCTCAGCACCTATCTGATAGCAGTTGCCCACCTTGTTCATTGGTTCAGGCAACATTTGGATGGTGTCACTAGCTATACTGTTTCCAAAATAAACAGGATGTCTGATCAGCATCAATGGACAGATTGCTTTTGTTAATCACATCTGGTTTTGGCTCTGGGAATATCCATTGCATCTCTCCGAGCCTCAATTTCTTCTTCTGTAAGATGGAGTTTCTAATAGTACCAGCTCCCTGAATGAATTACTATACTGAGTGCTGGTATTGTAGGTGAGTATAAGCATGTGTGTAAAGATACTTATCATGAGAGGCCTTAAAATCTTAAGTTACTTCCCTCACATTAGTCTTGGGGTGCCAAGCATCCTTTAAGATGCCAGGATTGGCTCCTGTGTGTCTGTTTCCAGACCTTGCACAAGGACTGCCAATGTCAATGCCCAGCCAGTTTTTGCCAATTGAACCTTGCTCCATGGTCTGGTGGAGTTGCTTTTACACACTGAAGATGAGAGAGGTCAATTTCCCTCCCGATCTTATAGAGACTATTGCAGAGAGGGTACTTGTGGTAGTCAGGTCTGCAGTGAGGTACACATGGAACTGGGTTCCTGCCCTTGCTCTTTCTGCCTCAACTCCCTCTCTCATGGCCAGATAGGGCTCTTCTTCGCTGAGCATCAAGGTCTAGCTGTGGAGGAGCCTATGGTGTCTGCTTACCCACTTTCCCCCAGTATGACCTGCTATGTCCTCTTGGACTATCTTTCTTCTTTTTAGTAAACCAGTCTTGCTTCTTGTGGCACCAGGGAACAGATAAAACTGTCATTTACAGAATTAGGGTCTGAGGCCCAGCCTAGCACTCAGAGACAATATGGGGTGAGGCAGGGCATCCCACAGAGATGATTCTAGATCCTTTAGTCACCAATAGTCTTCAGGTCCACTTTGGCTAATGCAGCAATCTAACCCCTCAGTCCTAACTGAGTGACCATTCTTAACTTTCTCCAAGGCACCTCACCATCCACATACAGTCCCATTGGTTAAGCCATCTGCTGGAATAGGGGCTCCTTCGGAATGCTTTCCAGAGCCCAGCGTTACACAGGACTTGGTAAGTGTCTGCTAAGTGAATCAATAACTGAGTGGCTGAGTGACAGGTCCTGATCTAACACTGGTGTGGCACAGGAGTGAAAGGGATGGATGTGATTCCTGCTCTTAGAGAAAACCCGCAACTAGATGGGAAACAGGGCCAAGTACTGTTTTCTGATTGCCTAGCGTAGGAAGCTGGGAGAAAGGGAGGGAGGGAGGGAGAGAGGGAGGG